TTTAATCGTTTTTTCAAATTTTTTGTGTTTTTTTGAAAATCAAATCCTATACCTCTTAAAAAATCACCCTACAAGGGCGGAACTTTGTGTTGGGTAGGGGATCACCAGTTTTAACAGGTCTACCGATTTTTCGATAGATCTGCTGATTTCAGTCCCATTGAAGTCCTAGCCCTAGACCAATTCTTAAACGTTTCTTATGTAACTGAACGAAACGCAAGAATAACACTAGCACTAGGCTCCCCCCCCTCCCCGAACTTCAATTTTTAACTAGTTTAATTTGGTGCAGTCCTGGCTCTTCAGTTTTCCAAATACGTCCCCCTAGAAATCAAAATTGACGTATCCGAGCGTCTTTCCCAAAATATACCAGGAGAGTCACAAATGGGGGTACGACCTTTTCGTTGCGTTACCCTGTATAAGTCAAATTTAACATGAAATACATAGTGTTCTGAAAGGCATGTTTGACATTCTTATAACACAAGATATATTTACAGCTATTTCCAATTAAACAATATTTTGAGGGATACATTTGAGATTTATTTTAATTAATTTCTTTAAGACTTTTACAGTGACGGGTTACAAATGAATGTAAGAAATGTCATTTTATGCCTAAAAAAGCGGCAACCTACTTTTTATCTGAGTAGAAGATTCACACACCTTTTCAACTTGCAAATAGTGCAAAGAACGCTGTTACCCCTTAAAGAGCTTGAAAATAGCGTAAGCGTACATTTCCGAAGAAAATAAGGAAGTAAATTTTACTTTTGCAGCGGAAAAAACTGCGTATTTATCAGTATTTTTGAAGCATTGTCTTTCAAAGGATGTAGAAGAGTTGATAAAAAATAAACATGTACCCCGTACTAGGAAATCGCCAAGGACTATTTCACTGTTTATTAAGAGGCGAATTAACGGTTCTAAATAAATATATATGTATATGTATTCGATACAAAATAACTCCAAAAACAGATTCAACAAGTTTGAAGTAATTTTATACAAAAACACGATACAGTGCTTTTGGATCTGGGCCTAATAAGCTATGTATTAGGAAACCTAAATTCAAAGTTTCACAACAATACATGTAGTGTTCTCACTACAGTGAATTCTTAAGTGTCAGCAAGTCATTAGAAAAATGGAACTCAACCGAGAACATTTTCGCGCCATAATTTATTACAACTTTCGGAGACAATTATCGCAACAGGAAAACGTCGATGCTGTGCGCAAACTCATCATTGAAGATGAAGCGTCCTTGAAGTTCTCAAAGACCTCAATTCAAAAAAATTTACATGAAGAATTAGGAGTAAGAAAATTAGTTTCTCGTTAGATACTCCACCTGTTGACTGAAGAGCAGAAAGCAGCCAGAGTTAATTGGTGTCAAAAAACGCTTGAACCAGAAAATAAATGACAGTAGGCTGTTTGGGTGTTCCAAGGTGAAGAAAAGCCAACAAAAGTCATCCGTTCTCGAAGTGTTTCGAAGAAGATGGTCGCGATATTTGTGTCAAAAGCGGGTCATATTGCAACAATTCCTCTTAATGAGCAAATAACTGTTACTGCGGATTGGTATACCACCATTTGTTTGCCGAAAGTTAACAACGAGCTTCGAAAAATCATTCCTGAAAGAAGAATCATCCTCCACCAGGACAATGCAAGCTCGCACACCGCCCAAAAAACAAGGCAGTATTTAACGGAAGAAAACGTGGAATTATTGGACCATCCTCCATATAGTCCCGATCTAAGTTTCAACGATTTCTTTACTTTACCGAAAATTAAAAACAGACTGCGTGGCCTAAGGTTTCAGTCACCAGAAGAAACAGTTGAGCAAAAATGCCGTTTTGGATCTGCCAGCAAACGAGTGGAATAAGTGCTTCGAAAATTGGTTCGAGCGCATGCAGATGTGTATTAATCTTCGTGGAGAATACTTCGAAAAACAATAAAGTCATTTAGAACTACCTATGGTGTTTTTGTGTTTCCATATGCGAAACTTAAAGGACATCCCTCGTATCTAAGATGCTTGTATTGAGCAACGTTTAACGTTTTTGAAAAATTGATACATTAATCTCAAAAAAATTAAAAAATCATTTACTTGATGAACTGTTAAAATACCCTTCAATCTATTTTGTTGAGAGAGCTGACTATACGGAGAAACATTTCACTAGCAATCTTTGGAGCTAGACTTACAAGTAGTTCTGAGATAAACAAGGCAGAAGCTGATCTGATATGCTTTAAAGTATGTCCTCTATTCTCTTATCATTCACAAAAATTCGTTTGTGTTATTGTAATCCAATATAAATTCCATCTCATTTTCATATAACTCTCAAAGACTTCTGGAATTCTAGGACAATGCATATCCATGACGTCATCATGAGACAGGCACTCCAATAAAAAAGTAAGTTATTCCATATCGTACATGGTAGGCGGTTAAGAAGTCCAATTATAAGTAAAGCACGCTGATTGAGCCGATTAAAATTTCCTTTTTCTCGAAATTTGCATTCCGCGAGAATCCGCTCCTTATCTAATTGGAAATTAAATTGACAAGGCGACCGAAGGGGGAATATTCCGGGCTCCAGTCCCCGAGCGACGGCGATGATGTCACAGCATATCTAATATTAGACAGTAAGGCTACTATAGAAATTGCATTGTTTTTTTTTTGTAAATATTTGTGAGATCTCTGCATACGCTGTGAGACGCTGCCACATAAAAAGTAAACCGGAAGCTATACTCGGGCAGATTTTCCAGTGTGCTTTCCAGTTGCCAGATAAGCGTAAGAACTTAAGGTCATGTCACAAAATTCTTAAGTAGAGTCAAATTCAAATTAAAATCCTTTATTTTCTTGTAGATGTAACACAGGAATGGTCAATAAAAACTTTAAACTGGGAAAAATGAAAGTAGATCAAAGCACGGCAATAAGACAAATTTTATTATTTCTTACCTGGTGTAACAATTCAAAGTTATACAGGGTGGCGCATCGAAAACGACACAGACGCATTTACTGGCAGCTCAGTTTTTTTTTGAAAAACGCTCATACCCGTCGATTTTGTTTTCGAGGGGGACACAAGTTTGGCAAAAAATCACGTTAGCACGTGCACGTGCAGCCCCCCCCCTAAGCGGGGGTGACAGCACCCCCAAAATCTTAAATGGAAAAGGGGGTCGAGTGATACCTTATTTTAAACGCCTTTCAATTCCCTTTATAATGATATAAAATTAATGTACTTCAGTTCAGTAGTTTTAAAGATTTATTGAAAACAAAATCGACGGGTGTGAGCGTTTTTGCTGGATTTACCATGAGATGTGATACATATTGATCGAGTAGCCTGATGGTCAGTAATTATTGATGCATTGCACAGAAATCCACTGCTGGTACAGCACATGTTCTTTCAATGTAATTTTTGATGAGGTAGAGAGAAGAAAGCTTCACCCCCCTTGGCCCCTCTCAAGGTACGCCCTTGAGTAACATTGTGCAACATCAAATTCCGAGCGCTACTTCTCAAGGTACAGGATTTGACAGCCAGACAGACAAAAATGAGTGACATAGTTACATATACCTACAAAAAACATAATATTTCATTTTCGTGAATACGAGGGATGTTCAATAAGTACCCGTGTTATAAATGAAAACACCATTTTTTTCCAAAAAAATTATTTTTGTTTACCAACATAATCCCATTTTCCCAACGTTCCTGACAGTTTTTTAACCCCCCTCCGCCCAAAAATATTGGATTTGTCGAACTCTCCAAAATACGCCTTTCCATCTTAGCGAAAATCACAAAACACGTGTTACTCGAATGGCTACCAAATCCAAACTAGCCTATCAATCAATCTGAAATTTGTTGTGCCGTCCTTTGATAGATGGCAGCACACGGTGATAATATTAACTTCCCTCAGGAACGCCCTCTGTCGTCACACAAGGGTACTTATTGAACCGCCCTCGTACAATACGCCAGTAAGCGTGGGAGGTTCTCCAATTGTGACTGCTGACCTATGTAGCATGTCCAAATGAAACTCGCGCCAGTATTTAATTACGAAATTTGTTCCTAAAAGAGTTTTGGAAAATAACAACAATGGAAGACGTCTAGATTCAAAAAACGACTGTCTATGTCCGAAAAATTAATGAAATTTTCCCAAACAACTTCTAAATCCCATTCCAGGGTTATACCTCTAATTCACCACCCTCAGACGGGCCAGAGTTCCGGAACTTTTAAGCGTCTCTTAACGCCTGCCTTGCATTGCGAAAATTGCCTGTGCGTGAAAACGCCACGCCGTCTCGCGATTATTTAGAAGATGAATATTCCGGCTAAATCTCTGAAATTAAGATGAGAATCAGCCAATGTTGAAGTTCGCTTTCACCGAATTCTATTCACGTACCCCAGAATGGATTTATAGACAGGAGAAAATGCGATAAGGTTATTTTAAGACTGTACAGGCTGCGACTCTATGACAGTACAGTCAAATGAAACTACATGTGTGTGAATTGCTTAATTTTTTTATTCGATTTAAAATAAGCAAGTTGGAATCTAATTACGGTACAAATGGAAGTGACACCAATTTGGAAATATTTTAGGCGAATTGCTTTTAGCAGTTATAATATGAACACAAATTTTCATAGTTGATCGCTGAAGCTTATACAGTTGTAATCTATTGTTCGATGTACATTGTATAATCAAAGCCACACATTTAGCTGACATCAACTTTGTTTCCATTTATATTGTACTTTTATCTTTTTATGCGTCAGGATATGCATTTTTACAAAAATATTTATGCTTTTTGAAATCTGTATGATATACGATATCACAAAAGGCTGAAAAATCAACTTTTGCATGCATCGACTATGTTAAATATTTACTATTGTGAAGTACCTTTTATCCTTGTGTCAAAAAGTTTATGTAGATGTACCTGAAATTTTCTCATGCTGTTTGAGAAAACTTACCTTTATAGCAGCATTATCTATGCATGCAGAGTTATTTGAGAAACCAAAAAAATAAAAATAAGATTAGAGGTCTTTGAGAAACATTTTCGATAGTAGTTTGATTACTAATAGTATACAAATACTAGACTACATACAATAAAACATTAGATTCTTTCAAAGCAACGCAATTAATTAGGACAAATATTTAAAAAATGTGAACCTGCGGTATAGGTTGAAAATGAAGAGTGCTGTTAGTAGAGAAAACTGCCAAAACAAATAAAAATCCGCATGCACAAACGAACCGTTTTTTGACTCTTAACTAACCGTAGGAGGGTTGACTACCTGCTTATAGATGCACCCGTTCAGAATGGCCAGCGCGAGAAATGGCAACAGGTACATACAGATGAGGTAGAGCCAATGAACGTAGATCCTCTTGTACTGAGGATCGCTGCGAAGCTTGCTGATTGACGGACAATAGATCGTGATGTTTAGTTTCCGATCATATTCCTGCTGGACTGTACCTTCGAACAGCCTTGGTACGTTGTATAACTGCGAAAGAAATTGAATAATGTAGGTAGTTTATTCATTATATATTTCCTTCAAGGTCATTTGAAGATAAAGTCTAGTTTTTCTAATGTCGTCCCCTCATTTTTGTCCTCATAAATGGAAAGAGCAGAAAAAACCACGTTCAAATATGGTCTTGACCACGTTTGAATTATGACCTTAGAAGGTCAAGGTCAATCCGAGGTACAATAATAATGCTCTAAAGCCAGTGGTCGTACAGGAAACTTCCCATACATTATTTTCATGATTTTTCTCGTAAATCCAATGATGATCTTGACCATAATCCACAAGGTCATTTGAAGTTCAACTTTTTATGGGACCCTATACTTTTGACCGCAGAAGTGAAGAAAAGAGGAACTGGTATGTTTGACTATATCCTTGACCATTTTTGGAACTGAAACCCAAATTCACCTTAATTTCTTGATAATTCAAGAAATTTTGTGATTCTCAGATAAACTGACTTTACAGTTCTTTCGGGATTGTTTTCTTGGCAAAAAAGCGACTTGACCTTCACATGACCTTGTGCGTCATCATTGTTAAGGTCAGATCCTTATTCTTGCTGGACTGTACCTTCGAGCAGCCTTGGTACGTTGTATAACTGCGAAAGAAATTGAAAATTGTAGGTAGTTTATTCATATTTATTTCCTCTTGAGTTTCTGAAAGGTTTCGTGACCGTCTGGTAATTTGTAATAAGGCTTCCCAGCTACCCAGTGGTGACCTCAGATTCAACCTTGTCCATGACATTCAAGGTCATTTGAAGAACAAGTCTAGTTTTTCAAATGTCGTCTACTCCTTTTTGTTCTCGTAAATGAAAAGAGCAGAAAAATTCACGTTTAAATATGGTCTTGATATGACCTTAGAAGGGCAAGGTGAATCCTAGGTACAATAATAATGCTCGAAAGCCAGTAGTCGTATAGGAAAACTACCCATACATTATTTTGATGATTTTTCTCGTGTATCCAATGATGATCTTGACCATAATCCACAAGGTCATTTGAAGGTCAACTCTTTTTGTCATGGGACCCTCTACTTTTGACCGCAGAAGTGAAGGAAAGAGAAAATTGTATGTTTGACTATATCCTTGACTATTTTTGGAACTGAAACACAAGTTCACCTCAATTCCCTGATCATTCAAAAAAGCTTTGTGATTCTCAGATAAACTGACTTTACAGTTCTTTCGGGATTGTTTTCTTGGCCACAAAGCGACTTGACATTCACATGACCTTGTACGTCATCATTGTTAAAGTCAGATCCTTATTCTTGCTGGACTGTACCTTCAAGCAGCGTTGGTACGTTGTATAACTGCGAAAGAAATTGAAAATTGTAGGTAGTTTATTCATATTTATTTCCTCTTTAGTTTCTGAAAGGTTCCGTGACCGTCTGTTAATTTGCAATAAGGCTTCCCACCTATCCAGTGGTGACCTAAGATTCAACCTTGTCCATGACATTCAGGGTCATTTGAAGATCAAGTCCAGTTTTTCAAAGGTTGTCTCCTCCTTTTTGTCCTCGTAAGTGAAAAGAGCAGAAAAATTCACGTTCAAATATCGTCTTGATATGACCTTAGAAGGACAAGGTGAATCCGAGGTACAATAACAATGCTCGAAAGCCAGTAGTCGTATAGGAAAATTACCCATACATTATTTCGATGATTTTTCTCGTGTATCCAATGATGACCTTGACCATAATCCACAAGGTCATTTGAAGGTCAACTCTTTTTGTCATGGGTCAAGAGAAAATTGTGTGTTTGATTATATCCTTGACCATTCTTGAAACTGAAGCACAAGTTCACCTTACTTTCTTGATAATTCAAGCAACTTTGTGATTCTCAGATGAACTGACCTTACAGTTCGTACGGGATTGTTTTCTTGGCCACAAAAGCGACCTGACCTTATCATGTCCTTGTACACCATCATTGTTAAAGTCAGATCCAAGGTCACCATTGGATATTCGGGGAAAAATTTTGAAAATAATGTCTCGGTAGTTTCCCTATACGACTAATGGTTTCCAAGTTTTGTCACCGTACCTGGGTTTGACCTTGACCATGACTTCCTGAAGTTAAAATGTAAGAATGGTCAAGACCATATTTGAACATAAAATATTCCGCTGTTTCCATTTACGGTGTTAAAAATGGGGAACATTTAAAAAAATTACTTCACCTTCAAATGACCTTAAAGGTCATGCTCAAGGTCACTGTTAGGCAGCTAGGGAAAACAATTATAAATCTTGGTGCTTAGTTTTTTCATACCATTATTAATTCACATTAATGTGTATACCGTTGTTTTCCAAACCACTTGCATCATTGGCTTCAGCACCGGAAATGTCTATGCTGTGTGTCTAAGGATTAGTAAGCCACTGGTCCTTGCATAAAGAAGTGAAATAAATCCAGATTCATCCTACTCAAAAATGTTATAGTTCTCGATTCAGCTGGCTATGTGGAACACATTTCAAGCAAATCAATATGGATTTGAGAATTCGACACCTGTTTTAGCCTTGTTTATAGAAGAACTGGTAAGCCACTGGTCTTTGCCTAAAAGTAGTAGATATAGCCGGATTTATCTTACTTAAAAAGATTTCGGTACAGCTGGCTCCAAAAAACACTTTAAAAGCAAAATCAATATGGCATTGAGAAAACGACAAGTGTTTTTGCGAAAACCAATGGCCTACATTTTTAGAGACGGACATCGGCATTTTCGTGCCCTTAAATTTTCCTGACTATATTCTGTAACACCCTGTATCAGGAAGATGTGTTAACATCGCCTAATATCTTACAAATACCCTTACAATTAGCACATGTATATCTGCTTGAAATTGATCCAATTACCAACACGAAGCAACTTGATCCGTCATGGCATGACTGATTGGTGATTAGTCTAATATTAATTATGCTGGTAAATATTTGCTCACAATACTGTTCCCAATTAATTCAGGTATTACAAAGCTGAGACACAAAACGTCACAAAACAGCATTCTAATCAAGTTCAAAGCATTCCATTTTGTCGATGGAAAAAATCGGTACATGATCTGATAGACATTTTTTACTTCCAAGTGCGACAAGCTATTATAGTGTCTTATATTGTTTGCGATTGAGGTGTCGACGTAGTAATTATCGCATTTCGGGCCCACGAACAATGTAGATGCAGTATTTTAAGTCGAAGATTGCATAACAGTCAAACAATTCCTCTGAGATCTGTATGCATTTTTAGGGGCGCTCATGAATATAATGACACCTTATTAAAGATGGTAGTCAACTCACCACTGAGAATATGACGATGGCTATGACGTATATGCGGGCTCGACCGTAGGTGCACAGCGATTTTGCTTTGAGGGGGAAACAGACCGCAACGAATCTTTCTAACGAAATTGTGACTGTGAGGTAGACAGATGCTGTTTGGCTCACCATTGCCAAGGGATATGCCTAGAAAAAAGTAAAACCATTATACATAATATTCTGAGTTCTATATTCAACTTAAGCTTCATATCTCTTAAAAATCTGCAGTTGGAAATAATGCCCCAAAAATTATGTAAATCTACGAAACAGATAAAATATAAGCTGTGAAAATGTTTTGATCCTTCTTCATATAAAGGCTTTGCGGATTTTCTCTTTAAATCAGAAAGCCTAAAAAGTTTTAATTACAGAGTTTATGGATTCTTAAAGGCTTTGAGGTGTTAAAATGTATTTCTAGATAATAAATCAGTAGCACAAAATAATGTTAAGGTTTCTATAGACTCTTTTGGTGGGTCACAGTATTACTACAAGAATTAAAGGGGAAGCAATAAATTTCGAACTTTTGTGGTTTTGCAGGTGTTCTTCAGACCTCAATAATGATGAGGATATAAAATATTTTTTAAGGAATGGAAAATGAAACCCTTCACTAGCTGAAAGGCTAGTGCTATGTCAAGGATGAAAAATCTTTATAACATTGAAAAATCGATCCAGTGGCGTCGGAGCTATTGCAAAAAACGAGAAAAACAAAAGTTGCTCAACTTCCTCTTGTGAGGGTTGAGAATTGGGGATTGGGGATTGTAGTTAAAGCCATTTTATTATTCAGAAAGGCGTTGGGGCATAAGGAGGGGTTATCCGGATTAAATTAGGTGCTTAGGTGATTCAGAAACTGTTTAACTGAGTCACGAGGATTTTTCGTTTTTATTAAATATCTCAGCCGGATTAGAAGATTTTTTGGTTCTTCTTGTCTTCAACGCACATGAAACACATTTTTGAAATTTCTTTGGTAAAACAATTTCTAGTATTTTTATGATGTGTCTTTAGTAGATCTGCCTCCTTGAATTCTTTCGTAATCTTTCAGGGATTTAAAAAAAATTAAAATCTACTTTTTTCGCTATTTTATGATATTTTTTCAAGGAAAACTCAATTTTATTATCGTGGGTCATCTACGAAAGTTTCTATAATGTAAATAAAAAATTATTTGACAAAATTATAATTGAAATTATTACAAAAAAAATTCAAAAATTATACTAAGTGACATATAAATCCGAACACCCAGTTTAAATGATTTTATTTTAATAAAATTTTGTATAAGTACTTAATGAAGCATAATAAGTAAATGATAAAAATTTCAAAATGATTGCACTGCTTTAAAGCCCTTTGACCTTTAATAATGTGTGGATGCACCCTGATGTGCTACGCATTCTCCAACGCGCCTAGGCATGCTTCTGATCAGATGGTCAATGTCCTCCTGTGGTATCTCATTCCAGGCAACCACCAACTCCTCTCGAAGTGCTTCTAGAGTCTGAGGAGGACGTTGTAAATTGAGCAATCTCCTACCCATCATATCCCACACGTGCTCAATTGGGGATAAGTCGGGAGATCTTGGTGGCCATGGTAACAATGTGACATCATTATGTTGAAAGAAGTCTATTGTGACTCTTGCAACATGTGGTCGGGCGTTATCTTGTTGGAAAGTTGGATCTGCCAGGGCGTCAAGATAGGGTAAAAGATGGGGTTCTAGAACTTCGTGGATATAATGCTGCGCGTCCATGTTACCTCTGATGAAGATTAAAGGTGACCTGGAACCATAAGCTATAGCACCCCAAACCATAACTCCAACAGTGTGATGAACATGTCTTTCAACAAAAAACTGTGGATTCCTCCTTTCACCACGTCGCCTTCTAACCCTTACACCGACGTAATCGCCTTGAGTGGTGCAGACCACGGTCACTCTGGGATCAGGAATGGAACAGTATTGTCTTTAGTGACGAGTCTCGATTTTGTTTAGGCATGCACGATGGTCGTGGGGTGCTATAGCTCATGGTTCCAGGTCACCTTTAATCTTCATCAGAGGTAACATGAACGCGCAGCGTTATATCTACGAAGTTCCAGAACCCCATCCTTTACCATATCTTGACACCCTGGCAGATCCAACTTTCCAACAAGATAATGCCCGACCACATGTTGCAAGAGTCACAGTAGACTTCCTTCAACATAATGATGTCACATCGTTACCATGGCCACCAAGATCTCCCGACTTATCCCCAATTGAGCACGTGTGGGATATGATGGGTAGGAGATTGCTCAATTTGCAACGTCCTCCTCAGACTCTAGAAGCACTTCGAGAGGAGTTGGTGGTTGCCTGGAATGAGATACCACAGACATTGACCACCTGATCAGAAGCATGCCTAGGCGCGTTGGAGAATGCGTAGCACATCAGGGTGCATCCACACATTATTAAAGGTCAAAGGGCTTTAAAGCAGTGCAATCATTTTGAAATTTTTATCATTTACTTATTATGCTTCATTAAGTACTTATACAAAATTTTATTAAAATAAAACCATTTAAACTAGGTGTTCGGATTTATATGTCACTTAGTATATTTTTACCAGTTAATCCTAAATCTTTTAAATCAAGGTTATTTGAAACCCCTTCTTTCCAGAAAAATGAAAGAACGATGATAAAATAGAGAGTTTTTTACCTTAAAAAGTAATCAAAATATCTTTGGACTTCTGTGAGGCAACTATGACTATCAAACATGAGACTGAAAATTTCGAAACATTAAAATCGTCTCCCGATATGGTTGGCTTAATAAATTCTTTTTCGGGAAAAAACAGTGGTTAGTATATTGCAGCAAGCATTCGCCTATGCCTATTTTCAAAATGTCCATGATTTAAGATAAACCTTGCTAAAGAAACGAAATGTTTGAACTAAAATGGTTTTGTATATGCCCTAACCTGAAGCAACCAGAAGCGATTAAAGCTTTTCGAAATTTTTTCAAGAATTGTAACCTTTTCGCAAGGATATTTTATTACCTCTAAAAATATTCAAAAATTTGAAAACGCATACGATCTGAAAGACATACAATTTATACTCATAGCACCGCTGCCAGTTAAAGGATTTTTCAAAATGAAGTAGCATTACCTACTATGATCCCACATGCATTTAAGACGTCACAAAACAAAAAATATTTCCCCACGCTCCCTGAAAAACTCCACTCTTCATACAGTTTTGGGGGCAGGTACACTTTTACAGAAAGCCATATCTTGCCGATGATCCAACTCATATTATTCAATGCAAGCATTTATGTTTCTTTTGGAAAAATCTAAACTGCTTAGAAATGTTTGTGAAGCCTAGTATCTATTTGAACAGAATATACTCACCAATGGTGCGATATGAGGAAAGACAATGTAATAGTACGTGAAGAAGAGTCCACTGTAGGGGTAAACGCTAGGCAGTCCGAAGAGCAGAATACTTGTCACAATCAGCACGGTGTCTATCCTAGCCAGGCCGATCAACAGGTAGTTTATGCTGGATCGCATCTGCGGCCTGGACAAGATGATCATAGAGATTATGTTTCCTATCAGACCAAGCAGGCCGACCAGGTTGATGAACAAGCCGCAAACCACGAATCTGAAACGAAATATGTTTTATATCCCAGTAAAATCCTAGGAGTGATTCTTCGAAATGTTCTGAGACTATTTTCGCAATACCGTTTCGCCACTAGATATTGGCTTTTCTTAAATAACTCTTGAGCATCTCTGCCTGCTCTCCGATACTGTAACCATGACCAACCGCACACAACGATGTTTACAAAAAACAGTGTTTTACCTGCAGAAATTCAACGGTTCTTCATCCTGCGCTATACACGATTGGAAGTCAGAATCATTAGGATTGGCGATATAGACTGGCCACAGATGGAAGATGCTGCCTTCCTCTGTCATGCTGCGCTCCAATCAGGTTTCTAAGATTGACTGGTCGAATATGGTTGTCAAATTGCTGTCCATGGTGATGTGTGAAGCTGATGACTGGCCCCTTCTAGTTGTGGCCAAAGAAGTTGACCTGAGAGATTACTCGGCGGAATGACGTATCTGAAACGAGAGAGACCGACTTTAGGTTGAACAAAGATTGTGTAGAGAGACAGCTAGAGTCTTCTACTTGGGACATATTGTAACGCCCTCGTAATTGAGGCGTTGAGTAACGAGGAAACATCTTAACAATATCGACGCTCAGGCAACCAGTGTTACGCGACCATGTATGGAGCGTGGCAGCGTTCTAGAGCGTTCGTGACGTCATCGAGAATATTCGACTCGTTTGGAGATGAATCTACTGCTATCTAGACGGCTTCCAGGAAGATCCATATCGATCGGGAAGATGCTTCTGGAAATCATCGATTGAAGATAAATACCGACCTGCAGTCAGTTACAGATGAGAGAGTCAATGGCGCGAAATCTATAGTCCAGTCGACATGACTACAAATTTGTCATAAATCAGTTGCAAGTGTTACAAATTAGTTTTAGAAAAAGAAATTAGAACAATGAAAATGGCCTTATTTTTCAACAGCAGGTTAACTGCTAACCGGAAATTAAACTCAATATCAGGTTTGCGCTTAACGGTGCGAAAAAGTAACCATGGTAAGTGCCAGTGAAAGAAAATGGACAAGTGTTCGCCGACGTATGGCATTGCACATTCTACCAGAAGAAGCTCTAAAAAAGGCTTCTGACATGTATAACAAAAATAGTTGATTTTTTTGCACTTTGACTATAAGAGATTTTGTGCTGTCTTTTTTCAAACACGTCGATTCTGTAATGACAGATGAGTAGCGGAGGACAGATGCGTCTTTTGTGGAACGTTTCTTCTGTGCTTAAATGGAAAGATTGCCGTCGCTTCCTCCGTTGACCTACACCCTAAGGATTACGAAACCAATTTTTTCGTATCCGGGGTCGACAACAATGAAACCCAATTAAATGCACCCTTACCCTCTCCCTTCCTCCCTCCAAAACATTATTTGCTTTTTACCCATTTCTCCTCATCGCCCACGAATTAAAAAGATACTGTAATCGGTTTTTTCCAATTTACTTGAGTACAACGTAAAAAAACATAAGGCACGCTGCTACCGGGTTATTTCCGGGTGGACGGATAATTTGGACAGACATTCCGCTTTTTGCAACACGAAATATAGGCAAATTCAGGCTAGACATTTTAGGACAATGATGTTGCGTGGAAAACATTTTTAAACGTTTTTAATAGTATGGAGTTGCACCATCATATAATGCAAGAGTATTACGCATGAAATCTATATAATGTCATTAAAAATCGGTCTAATCTCAACTAGCCCATTTTCGCAATGACCACCACCTACGACCATCATGCTGGCAATAATATAGAACATACGAGGGATGTCTTTTAAGTTTTGCATATAGAAACATAGTAGGCCGCGCGGATCGAACGTCAGTACTGAATCTTAACCTCACTCTCTAGTAAACTTAAATTAAAAAGTTTCACAACAATACGTGCAGTGTTCTCACTACAGTGAATTTTTAAGTGTCATCAAGTCATTAGAAAAATGGAACTCAACCGAGATCATTTTCGCGCCATAATTTATTACAACTTGCAGAGACAATTATCGCAACAAGAATGCCTTGCTGAGTTACTGTCTGTTTTCGGCAACGAAGCGCCACATCAGTCGACAATTTCCCGTTGGTATGGAGAATTCAAACGTGGACGGGTGAGTCTTAGCGACGATCCCAGGGTGGATGCACCAAAAACGGCAGTCACCCAGGAAAACGTTGATGCTCTACGCAAACTCATCATTGAAGATAGACATGTGATATATCGCGAGATTGAGGCGTCCTTGAAGATCTCAAAGACCTCAATTCATGTGTATAACATTGTTAGTGGTGATGAATCATGGATTTACTGTTATGAACTAGAAGTCGGCTGTTTGGGTGTTCCAAGGTGAAGAAAAGCCAACAAAAGTCATCAAAAGTTCTCGAAAAAGATGGTCGCGACATTTGTGTCAAAAGCGGGTTATATTGCTACAATTCCTCTTAATAAGCAAATAACTGTTACTGCGGATTAGTATACCACCATTTGTTTGCCAAAAGTCATCACCGAGCTTCGAAAAATCAACCCCAAAAGAAGAATCATCCTCCACCAAGACAATGCAAGCTCGCACACAGCCCAAAAAACAGGGCAGTACTTAACGGAAGAAACCGTGGAATGATTGGACCATCCTCCATATAGTCCCGATCTAAGTCCTAACGATTTATTTAATTTCCCGAAAATTAAAACCAAACTGCGTGGTCAAAGGTTCCAGTCACCAGAAGAAGCAGTTGATGCATTCAAAAATGTCGTTTTGGATCTGCCAGCAAACGACTGGAATAAGTGCTTCGAAAATTGGTTCGAGCACATGCAGATGTGTATTAATCTTCGTGGAGAATACTTCGAAAAACAATTAAGTCATTTAAAACTACCTACCGTGTTGTTTTATTTCGATATGCAAAACTTAAAAGACATCTCTCGTACAGCTTAGGCCAGCTTAGTTCCATCTCTGAAGCAGACGTAACATCATATACGAGTAGCTCAAGTGTGATGACGTTTAGGCAACACGCACTGCTGCTACAGGTACTGTCAAGAAAAAACGATATAACGTCACTTTTTGAGTTCACTCACTGACGTTTTGAGGTACGGATACGAATCAAAACTTGTTAGGTTACTCAAATAGATAGAGTAAGACACAAATTTGAGTTTATATTACAACTGATGGAAACAATTCGGCTAAATATTTTCAAAATGGTGGCCGTTCTGATTGTACCGAAAGTATAAGGGTGTTCCTTAATGATATGCGAATATTTAATCGTGTGAATCTACAGGAAAAATTAGTGTTAGTTTATTTTATAAACTATGGTCCAAAATGTTTCCTTACAAAAGCTCGGGGTGCTGAAGTTTTCGGAAAAAATGGAAATTACCGCTTCAGATATTTCACTGACATTTAGTACATAGTGAAAGTTGATAAAGTTGCATATTTTTCAATGCAAATATAATTTTTAGCTTTAATAGTGGCGTACGTACGAGTATTGACTTCGATATTTTTTAAGAAAAAAATGGTACGCCAATGGTTTTTTGCCAAATAAAAATTATTTTTGAATTCGTCGTTCAATTTAAAATAAATGATCTCTCTTGAATTGTTTTCCTTCGTTGCGCCATTTTTGAGTAAAAAAAAATAAAAACCGTGAGGGAACACCCTGTATAACAGTTTGCTTATTTCAAATAGTACGAGTGTTTCTAATCCTTGCTTATTTCATCTTATCGACTGCCCTGAACGTCCCCCTTGTATAAATGGCTTATATAGGGAAAAACAAATTGATCTAGCCGACTTCTATATCTTTCTAACTTATGTGTCTAGACACACTTCTCTCTCGTACACATTGAGCTCAAGGCGTCCGACAAATTTGGTTCTTAGTGTATATGACGGAGATCCTGAACAGCATGCAAGAAATCCTTTCTAAGCCAAATGTCATGTCAAATAAAATTATGATCTACGCCTACGCGGTAGACGTAGAGCTCACTAACTCAGCGTTAGTATCCGATTTACGTGAATCTGTGTGCTCTTATGCAGAGAAATGCATACACCACTGACGTTGTGATGTGTATGACGGAGACGCGCGAAAAACGTGCAACACATATGTCAGAAAGGGATAGAAGCACCACGTTGCATAGCAACTCGAGTGGTCAGTGATATTTGGATTTCCCTGTATGTCAAATTCCCCATATTTGCCCTACTATACCAGTTAACGCATATGTGTTCTTTTTTTATTAAAACACTTGCTAATGAACAGAATTGTCAGGATTGACCAGTACGCGGCTATATAAAATCGCTCCAAGTTCCAATTTACTGCCCATTCTCTTGGGGACAAAAGCTTTTTCGTGCTTACAGCGCCGGTAACAATATTTCATTACCTCGCAATCGACTGCTCTCCGGCAAAACAACTGTACCAAGTAAATCCCCCAGGGTACAGTCTAGGAAATGCGAGATGTTATCTAATGTTCCTTATCCTTTTGGCGTTCATTTACTCCGTACCTATTTATTTGACTCAATCCTTTTGTCTGACTGAGCTGTCTGAACACACGCCGCCGCTCGGATAGAGAACTTAATTGTAGCCACAATGTTTTGAGACATTTGGTGCTTGTGGAAGCAGATTCTTTTTACTTCTTACGAAAGTCGACAAGGAAGTATGGCAATCGCGAAAAAACGATTAGTTGCTCTATAACATGTACATCACGAAGAACGATCTCACTCATTTGTATCGTTCTTTCTATCGATTTGTGACTGGTGAACTCTCGTAATCTATACGAAACAACCCTTGATTGGACATTGAAATAACCTCCTGATGACTCTAAGATTAAATATTGGCTGGTGTTATCATCACCAAGTCAAGTGTCTTCTGATTCTGTGGGTAGCCCATTCGCTCATGTAATGAGAGAGAAACAATGAAATATATATGTATCACACCAACCGAAAGTAAATTCCCGACTATTTTGTATGCGAGTCAATTCGCCAACTTTACATTCGAAGGTGTTAGCGTGATACGCATAAAAGTAGAGAGAAAGTTGTAAAACTCCCGCATTCAGCAACAGTACAGCTTGTTAAAGAATCCCGTAAACTACTTAAAAGTTTGATGTGGCACGGAAGCGCAAACCGCTTGGAAGTGCTTGTTTGATTGCTTAATTGAATCCTTGACATGCTTATACAATGTACTAGTTGTACTTTCTGCTGCTCTTTGCAACGTCTTGATCAATTGATTTTTAATGGAGAACCACTAATAGAAAGACCTGCCCTGAATAGTTTCTTCAAATCATATCTAACACATCACACCTTCCTAAATATCTCAGACACGAGTATACCAAAGTGCAATCATTAAACGATCCTGTTAAAGCAGAAGATTTGTTACAATTTCTTTTTCTGGTCGACTAAGAATTAACTATGTCTTAATAAAGTAAATTATTACAACGCTTTTCTGTTTTAGAATAGTAATTTTATAGCAGTTCTTACAAATATCAAATTTTATTTTCATGACAAAATACTTCTCT